ATAATGTTTCAATGGGTAATCGACCAATAGGAATCCGAATTTAAGCAGCGGCGGCATGCACACTGCACAATCATGACACCACCTGGGAGTGTTTACTAAATTTCGAATTCTCACTCATCATTCACTTCATCTGGAGATCGCGCGAATGAAGGGAACTCTGGAGACCCCGGTGACGGTCCATCGCGGCAATGCTGCATGGGAAACCGCGTGTGTGAGTCTGAGTAGGACGAAGAGGAGGCTGGGCGATGGCAAGCGACCGCTCCGAGCTTCAACAGGGGGAACGGGGAACGCCGGGGTACAGGGGCNGGGGGGGGGGGGGGGGGGGGGGGGGGTGTCGGTTATTCCAAGGTTAAGCCAATGTCTTCCACCGGCGGTTCATTGTCTCGTCCCCGAGGACGATCCAGTGATCGGTGGAAGCGCGACCATCGCCGACACACGCATTCGCATCGTGCGAGCACGTTGCCCGACCAGGAAACCCGATTCGCTTCCTTTCGCGATGGGCGACCGAAATCGCCCGGGTTCAAAGCTCCCGCTCAGGGTAACCAGCGATTATACAAACATCCTGTAAGGGGCATTCGAAAATTAACAGCGAAAATGCGCTATGGGTCCAAGGTGTATGAAACGTAGGTATGCACTTCCCAACCCTTTCAGCCGGAATAAGGGTCCCTTCATAGAGATGAATAATAATTTCAGACTGCTTAACTTTGCAAAATGTCGCTGTTAAAATAATTGACACCGGTCAAAATTGAAGCTTGGGGCATCAAACAATTTTTAAACCTCAAAGTAATACAAGAATCCTCAAAATAACTACAGGATGACTATCACAACTGACACCACCTTTGAAAATATTTTAACGATCATATCGTCGGATGCAACGCGCCCTGCTGTCAGGAAAACTAGAACAACTAGAAAAACTAGAATAGTTTGCCGAAAAGCACGCAGCTGCTAAAACAAGGTCTACTAAAGCAGGCTAGTCAAAAATCAGTATTTTTACAGTGCTTTTTCAGTACATTCCCGAGAAATTCAGTACCTCCTCAATAGAAAACTTCAGTACTTTCAGTGCCTCCATTTTACGAAGTTCGGAGAATTTCACAAACTTGAATTTCTCGCTCTAATTACGACAAAAATGACAAAAAAATTGAAAAAAACTCCGGACCTTCTTGAGGAATTTCCGCACTTTTTCAGTACTTCCGGACTGCCATTAAAAATTCAGGACTATTTCCGGACTTTCCAGAAATTCCGGACTTGTACACACCCTGTGAACAAGAGCCAAAACCTAAAAATATGTAAAAACCGCGCGTGTTAAGAGATGGATCGACCAATTTGACAACGCCGGATTGCCTCCATTAAAACCTGTGCTAAATAATCGATTCTCGTCGGAGTACCTGGCCCATTCAAGAATCGATACGTTTCCATGGATTTAAACGGAGAAATGACAATGTTGCCACTTTCCTGGATCCGCCGAGCGCGCGTGTTGTGCCCACGTTCGTTGGGAACGAATCCGTCGGCTTACGGGCGGCCTCGCGGCTCCGAAGAGATTGCAGGAGCTTTTAAGTGCTAACACTAAACCGGGAAACGAGCTCCGAGCGTAAAACAAGTCGTAAACGAATCTCCCGACAAATACTCTCGATGCACTCGCAGCAGACCTCGTCTTCGGCGATGAATCGGTTCAGTTAGGCGCATGCAGGCTACGGAATGACAAGTTTCATTGCATTTTAAAATTTCCTACGACCTTTACCAAACTGAGGCTGCCGCTGCTATCACGAAATGCTTTCTGGCTTTTACTTATTTTTCTTCACCATTCGGATGAAACTATCCTGATTCTTGAGAAAATAAGGGATGAATAATGATAATTTAAAATATTGCGGTTCGGCTGGGTGCACTGAAAATAACTCCGGCCGTGGAAGTCGCACTTACAGGCTATGTAGACATACTGTTCGTGTTCCGGGCTCAGAAGCCGTAAGTTCTGGGTGTAGCATCCGGATCAAGCGAAGCCACGACTCCAGCACCCGCAACTTTCGGCCTCTAGGCCCGGAACGGACGGTATGTCTATGTAGCCCGTAACTTTTTTTTCAGTGCGGATGAACGGCCAAAGATATAGGATGCGAAAGTTCAGATTCCCTACTTCTGTTTACTTTCCTCGCTATAGGGTCACTTCTTTTGCTTTCCCGAATTTTGATGAAGCCGAACAGAACACAATCGATGAGAAAATCCCCCAACTGGCAGCGTCGTTAAGCGCTGACGCCTTCTCACGAGAGGAACTGAAGCAGTTGACTTGTCTCGGAATTGGTTTCTGATAACGACAACACATCGACACACGCTGGCTGGCGCAATTGCGCAATCCACTCCCGGCGCTATTTGTCAGGCAGCAGTTCTCACTCCCGAGGTACATATCCCTGTCTTATCGCCTTTCACCTGTAGTGCAGTTGCCAAAACTCGCAGAAAAATGCATTTCGGCGGAGGCTGCGTAGAACCATGAGAATGTAAAGGAGAAATAACTTTCAAACTTTCTGAGCAGTCCTGACAAAAGCCAGTAGGCTTGTGCTACGGTTGAACCGTAGCACAGTGGATCGAGTCAATGGGAGTTGTTTCTGGGGTTAAAAACAGGGAAGCGCATTGATACTTAAGCTTGATGCCTTTCAAGCATGCTGCTTTTGCGAAAGGAAACTATCAAGCTAGTTGTTTTTTTGCTGGGAGTCTTTCAGGCGCCCTACGTGTGCGAAAAATGCTTTTGAACGCGCTACTTATGAGGAAGGAAACTTCTAAACGCGGTTTTTATATGCTGAATGTCTTTTAAGCGCGCTACTTATGAGGAAGGAAACTTCTAAACGCGCTTTTTATATGCTAAATGTCTTTGAAGCGCGCTACTTCTAGAGAAGGAAGATGTTATAGCGCGTTGTTTTATGTAGAGGCGCAATTATAACAAAACAGCAAATCCTGGGCAACGCAAATTATAAATTGGGGAAGGCTAAGAGTTTTCTGCACCCCTGCATGAACGACGATTTCCAAACGTCGCACGGTGGATCGGGTCAACACGAGAGGTCGGACAAAATTTGGAGACTTCAAACGCTTATAACTCTGTTTAAGCAGAACTATGAGGTTCTGATAGTGGTTCCATAGGTTTCCTCGCAAAATTTTTTCGTGATAGCACCCTTTGAACTTTAAAATGTGACGAAATTAACACCAAAATTCGCAGTTTTTGTCAAAAATTCCATGTCCGACCTCTCTAATTGACTCGATCCACTGTGCGTCGTAGTAGAAGCACGCAATATTCGACATCAGCCATCGAAAAGTTTTGAGATTCGACCCAAACTATTCTCCCGAGAAAGGAAGAAAAATGACGACCACGAAACAGTGTAGTTATGCAGGGGAAAATTTCAATTCAACAGAGTAGAAACGATTGGTGTGGTGGGCAAGTTCCGCTGGGATGATGAGATAAAATCCGTTGCGTTCGATCCCTTGGTCATTTCACAATGCAGGCCACTGTGACGGCTGACAGCTATCGTATGAATAAATAACGCGGGGAAACTGATTGATCGGCACGGGATGCGACACGGCATTTGAGTTGCGCATATTTTTCCGCGAGATAGCACACTAGCTTCCAGATCTTCAACGGGGAACAATTTGTTATTTTTAGTGGATATAGATTCAAATCTTCTTAGAAATAGAGACGTAACTTCCTCCGGAGGAAAGACTATTCCTCTCTTGTCCGGAAAATTTCGGCTTTCCGCCTCTCGACTCGATAAAATGATTTCATGAAGACACTTTTCTTGTGCTGATCCCATAGCACTGAATATTGGGTGATCGTACATTATTCGGTCAGAGTTCATCAGAGAGGAACCACCCCACATCAAATTGAAACTGAGAAAAAGGGGTTTGAAGTTTTATTTCTGCATAAAGCTCAAGGTAGAAAATAAACTCTAACTTCTTTAACTTCTCTTTCAATTTCTGTTTTTCTTTAGCGATACCTTATTCCTACTCTAAAGTTCGAATAGTTACGCGCTAGATTTACGAATTTAAGGATGCAGGCATGATACCTACATTTCTAAACGCCAGCATTTTGAGACGAGCGAAAAACTAAGACTGTCCTTCATTTTCTCGTGATACCTCATGACTACGCGTTAAAGCTGTAGGTTACGTGTATGGTATCCGCTGTAAACAGTGTTGATTCATCAAACATGTTTATGCAAGTTCCCGTGAACATCTAAAAACCGCGCGATTTTTCCAGCGGTTTTGTGAAGGGTTAAAAAAAGTACAGTAGACTCCGAATTATCCGGATTACATGGTGCCGGGCCCGATCCGGATGAGAAAGAAATCCGGATAATAATAGTTAACACGAACACCACCAACCAACACCACAGTACTCTTATTGTGTAAAAATCATGTACATACCAACACGAATTTAAAAGGTTAACGCCAAACTGAACGACTCAATGGTGATTGTGAATGGTAGCCGGCAACGATAAATTACAATACAACGATTAAAGCGCGCAATGCGTGAAGTATTCATGCAGTCTTATAGCCGCTAATGTGCGTTTTAGGCTAACTAACCGACTGCACTCCGTCTGGCGTAGTGCGAAAAGTATTTATGCAATCTAGTAGGCGCTAATGCGTTCCACGCCGACCTCACCGTTTGGCGCAATGCGTGAAGTATTCCTTCAACCTTGCAGGCGCCAATATGCCTTGTGACCGCTTTTCCGCGGATCCGCTCACTTATCGGAATGCGTACGTAGTTACATGGTTGCAAAATCGATCCGGATAATACGAAGCCGGTTAATCCAGAGTCTACTGTACTTGAATTCAGCGCAATATGTATAGTGGTGAATACTCGATTTTCCTGGCGGTTTGGTAAATAAAAACATATTGCAACGTTTGAAAGTGGTATCTGTTGTAAGATAGAAAAGAGAGAAACCAGTATACCACAGTCTTGAAGTTGCATGTTTGTTTTTCTGTAGTTCTTTTTCACCCGTCAAAACATTTAGAGAGAAAAAGCCGCTTACCTGATGTGCTCCATGTTGGATTTCTCCACATTTGGTGGTCATTTAAGTTAAGTATTCCTTTTGGACCGTCTTCTTTCACCTCTTCTACACCCCACAGCTTTTTAGCCGAGGGCGCGATCTGAAACAAAAAAGAGGAACGTGAATCAATGCAAATTCAATACCGCACAAATATAAATAACATTTTTAGATAAAGTACTAAAAACGGAAGGCTGAATCTCAACGAGGCCATCATTGCTGAGCTGTTCAGCTATCAGAATATTGAGTGAATTCCACGGAAAGCCAACTTTGAACGAATCAAAACCTGCCAGACCAGCGCGACTTATGACACGACGGTAGACCGAACTGTCATGTTGAAGAGGAACGCCATTTAGATTTCGAATGTTGCCAACTTTCTCCCTGATCGATGATTCATTACTGAGAGAGGACACGGTAATTTTTCCTACAGCTCTGAGATGCGTCGAATAAAACTGCGCTGGAAAAACACATTGGATCTAGAGTCTAGACTTTTAAAAAAATCGACAAGAAAAAGTACTCTTGATTCAATCAGAATCTAGCTTAAATCAAGAACCAAGCCTCTTAATTTAAGCGGATTTCGTTTTGATTCAAGCAAAAATCCGATTGAATCAAGAGCATTTTTTCTTGTCAATGTTTTCAAGAGTCTGGACTCTAGATTCACTGTGTTTTTTTTTTTTTTTTTTTTTCCCAGTGTGCTATGCGACTCTCTGAAAAAACAAACGGAAAATTTACGAACCGTCACGAGAAATTTTACATTCTTCGAGAAAATTGGCAACGGCAGAAAGCTCAAACGGCGTTCAGCCTTACTACAGCGGTTGACGAATTCCGCTTTGAGGCCGCATCCTTGCAAAATGGCGAAGCCTTCCTTACGAGAACCTGCTGAGAGGCTCTATTCACGCGGCGCGGCACACAGTGGATCGAGTCAACGGGAGAGGTCAGACGAAAGTTGGAAACTTTAAACGCTTGTAACTCCGTTAATACAAAACAGTGAGGTTCTAAAAGCGGTACCATTGGTATCCTCGTAAAATTTCCTGCCAGAGACACCCCTTGAAATTAAAGTATGACGATATAAACATCAAAATTTACAGTTTAAATCAAAAATTTCACGTCCGATCTCTCTAACTGACTCGATCCACTGTGCGGCTTCGGCGAGGCCATCGCGGACGGCGATTTATTTGGCGGCCCGAAAAAGAGGGTGCGAGAAACCCTGACCCAGTTGCGAGCTCCCCCAAATCATCGTTCGGGGTAGATGCTCGGTTCGCTCGAGGGACGATGCCTACTGCGTGACAGCCGTCGAAACGATAAGCGACGGAATCCCTGTTTATGCCTGATCCAAGAAAGACTTACTCTGAAGTACTACCATGCTGAGAAAAAACGCTGTAAGAGCATATACGCGTTGTCCGATTTCCTCGGATAAAATATTCATTTTAAAGAAAAGTTAGGAGTGTATTTCCTTGAATATTTAAGTGCATAAGATCAAATTGGGAATACAATTTTCTGACGGATGAGAGGAGAAATTCGCATCATTTTCCCGGAGAATTCATGAAATAGACAGTGAAATTTTGCATTGTTTGGGAGCTGATACAGCGTTCTTTCATAGCACGTCAGAAAACATCACTAGAAATCATCGCGCAGTGACGATCGTCCTGGGAGTAGTAACAAGAATTAATTCCGACTTAAAACGTCCCGGCTGAAAGCCCCGTATACTGTTCCCTGCTCAGGGATAAAATACAGATGGCATGAGAGAATAAAACCATGGCTCGGGGTAAGTAGCTCTAAGTGTCAGGAATTTGTCATTCGTCCTGCTCTACAGGACAAATTTCAGGAGTCTTCCCGTAATGTTTCCCGGGTTTTCTTGAGAAAAATTGTATTCTTCAAGGTATCAAAAAAGGCGAAAAGCAAAATAAAAACTCTTTCATCTTCTGTCACCGCATTAAAAATACGATGAGAGAAAAAAAAAGAGAAAAAGTTCCCGGTTTTTGACGCAGATTGCTTAAGAAATTCCCCGATTTTCCCAGCTTTTCCCCTTAACTTGATGAATCCTGGTGATTCCTTCATTCTGACCCTCGACATCACGACGTTGCATCCATGAACGGGTTTCTCTTTTTCTCAACGCAGGGCTTGAGGAATTCGTCTCTCACAAGTTATTTTCGGCTAAACGATGTGACGTCCTCATTTCTAATTTAGAATTTTCAGCGAAATGTTAGGGAAAGTTTACGGGTCGAGCCAATACTTCCTTGAAAACTTGACTCCTCTCAAAGATGGACGAAGATTAAAGCGCAACTTACGTTATGGACCTTCACGGGGGGAAATGACCTTCGTTTCGCTTCTGTGCAGTCTACAGAAGAGAAATTTTCAACCTAAAACTCATGACTGGTGGTGTCTATGATTTTGATCCGAATTCTAGACCCCACAGAAAGCAGCATAGACATAGTACTCTGCACAGGCAATTGTCCGCATAGATATTACTGGAGATACCACCTTCAGCGCCCCCGAAGCCAGACGCTTGGAGAACCCAAACATTGCGTAACGACAGGAAGACTCAACCTTTGACATTCACACCAGGACGACGTGCGACGCGACTACAAGGCGCAGGCGTCATCCTGAGTGGGCGAGCGAGACACGCCGCGACGCTGCACACTTGCCAGATACTGCAAAAAACGCAGCGTTTTTCACCATTAAAACCCATGTAAAATATCAACATTATATTGCACACACTGGCAACCTTCGCGACGCGGTGCATTTGAGCCTTTCTTTGTCTAGACATCCAATATTGCCGGCACGACTGATGCAATGAAGCTAATATAGCATCAAGAGGAGAAGGCACTAGTTCGTTGCCAAAAAGAAAAAACGAAAAACAAGGAAGCATGCTTCCAAAGGTAATGAGTTAGGCCAGCGTTACGTGATTCAAAGGGGGGGGGGGGGTAGGGCTACGTCACGGGGGCGTTACAAGGGGCAGAGGAGGGTCAAAAATCGAAAAAAATGCGGTACGTAAAACTTAACCAATGAATGAGGTCCATTGATTCGAGGAGGTGGCAAATAACAATGAAAATGTTAAGTTGAACGAAGTTGACAACACCGACGTAAAATTACGATAATAATCGCTCTGAAACACTTAATGAGAAAACATTACTCTTCCGTGTGAAAATACTTTATGAGCTAATTTTTTAACAATTTTTCTCCGCCACTGGATGACGTAACAAAATAGATTGAGTAGATCTGAGAGTGAGTTTTACCGCGCGAAGACGTAATTCACGAAGTGTACCCGACGCTCAGCGCTTGTAACCTTCAGCAGTCATCGCGCTCAACGTTTTTCGTCATTCTTTGCGTAATATTTGGGTTCCTTGAAAAATCTGGAGGAACAAAGACCAAGAACTTACACTGATATTCTCTGGCAAAAGAATCATCAGTGTTTCAAAAAGATAGAGAGGAGATGTCGAGATATTTTAAAATAAATCTCAGTTGACGGTGAAGGATAGAACTCAAGCTTTCTTTTCGAGACTTTAAAAAAAAAAAAAGATTTTCGCGTTTCACTTGATTCCAGCCGACGCACAGTGGGTCAAGTCAAAAGGAGAGGTCGGACATGATTTAAAAACTTTAAAATCGTAAATCTTAACTAATATGAAATAATGTTGTTTTAAAAGGAGTTTCATTGGTTTTCTCGTAAAATTTTCTACAAAAAGCACCCCTTAAAATGAAAAACGTGACGACATAAACGTAAAATCTTACATTTTCGTCAAAAATATCTTGTCCGACTTCTTCTGATAACTCGTTCCACTGTGCGACGCCAGAGATATAATTCTTGCATACAAATACATGAAAAAAAGGAAAAGAAAAAACCCATGGCGCTTAATTTGCGTTGGCCGAAAACGAAATAAAGTTTCCGCTGAAAAGAGCGCACTGCGATTCGGCATGATTGGTCATTTCGTTCGCGGAAGCGTGATCTCGTCACTCCTCTGACGTCAGAGCGGTTCTCGCTTTCCACATGAGCCCCAGAGAGCATGGATTCATATGCGGGATAAGGCTCACCTGGAAATTGAGATACGCCCTTACGACGGAGGGGCGACGATTTGTGGACTCGCAAATTGAGCAGCCGCACCGTCGGTGAGCATTAAAATGATTTTTACGTCTTTCCTTTGCGTCATTTTACGATGGTAATCATACCGGGATAAACGATGTTCAACATGCGTTATTTAAATCTTTAACGCGCGATCCGCGTTAGTGATACAGAAACTTGGAAACTTTTCGTGCACTTGACAGTTGCGTCAGGCTTTAATTAATTATGTCCAAGCCGGGCCCAAATTTCAGGAATCGGTTAAAACAATCGCGTTGGAAATCTGTGCGTTAGGAGCGTCCACACAGTTGCCCGAAATAGACGTCACACTCGAGAAAAACACTACTTGCAACTTTACGCTACAACGAAGGCCGTGGGCAGACCTTATATTTCGCCCACAAAATCGAGAGTATGCAACCCGGCTCACAGTGGAGTTAAAATAGTTGCATGTTGGGTTCGAACCCAACTTCGTATATTCTTCTCTTGTTTTACGCTCCGCGCGTCATTTCAATTCTGACTTATCTTTCGGAAAAGCAGCGAAGTAAATTGGTTTTTACAACGTTATTTTCAGTGTAATATTTATTCTGTGTTAACCTAGAGGGAGTTCTTCGGGATAGGAAAATGACGAAATTAATTTTAATGCGTATTCATAGATGCTACGTTTGAGGCTCTTTAAATACTTATTACATTCAAACGATATTTTCTGCTAAAAATAAAATGTGCAATTCTATGTGCAGAAGTCCAAGAATAATTAAAAAAAAGAATGAAAAATAGTTTCTCGCATCATGTTTACTGTAGAAAGACATTTTCAAAAAGAATCCCCCATGATATAACTCAATACGGTTCGGTTTTTCAAACACTAAAAAAGACTCCAGAGACCAGAATCCAAGGTCTGGACTCTTAAAAAAATCCGACAAGAAAAAATCCTCTTGAATCCATCGGATTTTTCCTGGAATCGAGAGCTAAGCTTCTTCATTTAAATGGATCTGCTTATGATTCAAACAAATGTCCGATTACATCTAGAGTAGTGTTTCTTGTCAGTTTTTTTG